TTCAATCATACAGAAAAATAATATGATAAAAACAAATCATAGCTTAGATAGAAGGAGCAATTGATATTAAATTAAAGAGAGTTACTTGTTTCCGAAATGGTTAAAATTAAACAACTTATTGTCAACTCCACATTTGTAAAACGATTTTTTGCATCATAAAAAGGAGATGAAAAAGATAAGAATTTGGAATTAGTTTTAATTTAAAATAAATTTTAATTTGAAATTTCTTGTTGTGTATTGTTTACCATTAATTAATAATTTGTTTGATGAGATTTCTCATTTTAATTCAGTTAATAAAATCAAGCAAACAAAAACTGTTTTAAATTAACTTAAATCAAACAAGCTTAATTAGCGACATAATTTAGTTATATAGATGAATATGTATTGAATGAATGGAAAAAAAGGAAACATTTTCTATTTAATTAATTACTTTAAATTGTTTGTTAGTAATTAAAGCGATGAATATTAACAGTTTATCAAAACTTTTTGTTTAATAATACAATTAAATTAATTTAATTTTTTTTTACAGTTTCAGCTACTTTGGGGTATATCTGAATTATTTCTATATGGATTAGCACCATTATCAGCGTTTTTTGCACTAATTCATGCCGACCTCGAATGGCTCTTTCCAACTTATGCTATGCGAACACTTTTTCCAAGCTTTATGCTTATTCTACCGATACTATTTACCATTGTAAGTTTTAATGAAATATAGTATAAATGGAGTAGAAATGTTCAAAAGGTATTATCTGTTTATTATGGACGCACTAATCTTATTCATTGCTTCAATGAATAATTTTTTTCATTCTATAGTTTGAAATTCATAGTAAATTGCAAGCATGAATAAATTATTTAGCTAATATTGGGCATTGTGTTAGGTTACTTCTTCAATAAAATCAGCAAGTTATAGTGATAACATTGGTAATAATAATAATGGTGATAATGATAAGAATAATAAAGAAAATTTTGAAGTTTTTAAAAGAGAAGAATTACCAACATCTGAAAAAGAATTGTAGAAGGATTATAATATCGAATAATAAGTTTTGAAGTTAGAAAATGGAAAAGGAAAAAAACAGAATTTGTTCAGATCAAATTTTAGTTCTCCTATATTTTATATTGGTTTATTGATCTTATAATTGACGTACAACAAGTTTCGGATAACTTGCTCGATATGGAAGTGTGGAAACGATGTATTTGGGCTAGCGCATTGTTAATTACTAATATTTATGCTGTACTGCTTACAATTGTCGTTTTACAACTGATCTACTATCAGCATTATATAGTTATCGAAGAGCAGGTAATTAATTAGCAATCAAAAACTGCTTAGAATACATAACTTAATAGAAGTATTATACTCTTAAAAAAGTACTAGTTGTGATCACATGACAAATATTATAGCAAATAAGATAATTTGTTATCATTTAATTATGTATATATCCCTTGCGATATTTTAAATATTTCGGTTAGATGATTTTATATGTATCCGTTATATGTGTATGAATCTGAAACATTTTATGATCGTATTTATACTAATGTTCAGGAATATTATCAATTTCTTCATTATTAAGGAAGAAAGAAATAGGATAAATTTGAAAGAATTGCTTACAGGTTGTGCGTGAACAACAAAACATAATAAATGAAGGAAGAGTTCGGTATCTTCATTACAGACGTCAACGTCGACGTCAACTAATTAATCAATTACCAAATGCCGGAATTCGACAAAATCAGGAAAGATTAAATAATAATCAGGCAAATGTTGAAAATGTTTAATATCTCATCCCTACTCTTCTATTCCTTTCTTTTTCTCTTTTCAAATTGTCATAGATGTAATATTCAAAATTTCCAACATAATTTTGCCTTTCAAAGTTTACCACTTTTCCTTCATCTTTTAATTTTAATGATATGAATTCTGTTGTAATGTATCGATGTTTACATTTCGATAGCATAATTGTCTTAGATGAATTTTTGTGTAGCATGTTATATTTTGTACCGTCTGATGTATCGATTATGCGTACCTCATTTTCGATATATCGATCATGTATCATTTATTACTGAGATACATCGATTCATATCATAATTGTAGAATCGACGTGTCGCTTATTGATCCCAATATATCGATCATGTATGCTCATTAATTAACGATTATCGATTACTAATTACTAAGATATGTATTTTTGTGGAATCGATGCAACATTTCTATAATTGATATTATATATAATATTTGCGTTGATAATGTTGATGAATCAGTAACGCATAATTTTGGCTTTGAGAGCTAATTAGCAAATGATTGATCAGAAATAATACGACAACCATTTGTAAAGATAATGTAATTTTGTAACACTTAAAAAAATGCAAATGTAATTAAATAGATTTTCTTTATCACAATGTTAGTGTAATTTTTCAAATGACGGGAAGGAATGACTATTATTCGAAATATGTTAACATTATGAACAATTAAAAATTAGTTGAAATTAAAAAATAAATGTGAGCAGATGTGAACGATAAGATCGTTCACTATTACCTCTGATAAACGGCTACCCTTACTATAACATACTTGGCTTACTGATTTTCTTTCTTTTTGATTATAATTTGAAATTCAGTAAATAGAAAAAAATGATCTCACCAGCTGAAAGTCTATGATTTTTTCAATAGTAACCAAAATTTTCAAGATATTTAATCATTTTGCAAGGCAAACGCATTGAGGTTACACTGTAACGGTAATGAAAGATTAATAGAATTATTGATGGATGATGATTACATGTCTTTCATCAAATTTCATCCGAAATTTATCAGATTTAAGTCAGACTCGTCCTATCCGTCTGATTTTAATCACAATTTCATTCTTCCGGTAACCGGGCCATCGATAGAGAAAATTTTTTACCATTGAAAATCACTACAATGGAGACGTAATGCATAAAGTAATTATACTTCAGTGGAGCACGCCATTTAATGATGGCGCATAATTAATTGAAGAATACGAACGTGATAGTCTACTGAAAAACAGTTACGATGACAACCATTTGGATACTTCAGAGATGAATCATCCGTCGAAGTGGCAGATTCCAGATGATCTTACGATGTAATTTATATTAAAGAAACTTTGCTGGAAAGTTAAAAAAGTTACTGACAAATTGATTAGCAATATCTTTCAGATGAAGGCGAATCTCGAAAAGAATAAACGAACATTTTAATAATTTATCAACAGAATCTGGTTACGAAGAAAAAGATGTAAAAGAATATAAAACACTAGATTTGGACTGTGGTATCTTCAGAAATAGAAAATATGAGTAGAAAGTCACTAGTATGGATCTCTCACATCACTCTATGTAATGCTAAGCCTGTCACACTTCATAATCAAGGCCGTTTTAACGATGGCTGAACCTTAGCAAATGTCTTTCAAAACAACATTTCACCGTTCATTCGAAAATACATCCAAAAATTGCGAAGAAATGACGCAATCTGGAAGATGCTAACATGAAACGGAAATGCCAGTGAATAAAATATACAGAAACAAATAATGTTCAAAGAAAAACAGTTAAATCACAGGATTTTTGTTCATCTCATTTTAATTAATCATTGCCATTATCTGATAATGATGATGTTGTAGGACCAAATTTCTGAAGCCTTCGTTGTCGAATTTCATCCAGTTCGGTAGTTGAAGCAGAACAAGTTGGTGCTGTACTATTGACACATGATATTGGCGGATTTTTATCCAATTTAACTTCACTCGAACTAGCCATTGGTGTATCGCTAAGAACAGGTTCATGACACAATGACTCACGAACTGAATTTTCCGCGACAGCGGAAGAAGCTGCCGGAGTACCATGTAATGTTGCATCATTGGGTGGTGCAGTCGTATTTGTTGCTGCAGCTGCATAAGCTGGATTTGTTGCTGCGGCTGTATAAGTCGGAATACTATAAAACAAATAAAAATTTCGGACGAAACAGGAAAAATCCTTAAAGAAACGCAGCAAAAACTTCTGGCAGTCTTCTGCAAATGCAAAGTTTGAATGCAGATATATCAGACATATAACCTACACGCGTATTCATATATCCAATATAAAACCATCAAAACTCCCAAGCATCATATTCTTCTAAATGATTATTACGGACTCTATTCTTCAACATTTTCAAAATTTAATTTGCACCTGAGTGATTGCACGATGATCATGTACTGTTGTAGCTGCATGGTTGCTGCATCCAACAATAAGCCAATATTACGAATACAATTGATACGTGCTTCGACAGCTGCTCGTTCGGTCCCTTCCATAGCAGCAACTTCTTCATCCGTTAGACCAACAAAGCTAGGAACCGGTGGAAATATTGGAGGTACCGCAAATGGTGGTATTGCCTGGAGGAGACAACGGTAAGAGATGTATGTATGAGATGGAGTTACTTATGAGAGGACTAAATAAATGATTAATTGAAATTCTTTTTCATTTGAATGATGATTCCGTCACTCACTACGGTGAGTGGAATTGGAAATTTTCTAGTAGCATTTACTTCGATCCAATTAAGGTAAAACAAGTCCATTTTTCAACGGTTTCAAACTTTCCATGAAAATTTTCAGAATACAATATAGAAGAGAAATAAACGCTCTTGAGGAAAAGTGATCGGGCGAGATAAATGGATAAAAAAGAGAAGTAAATAGTATTCGAAGACACCAAAGAGTGGATTTGCCCCAGTCAGACAGTCACCATTAGAAAAAAGTGAAAGTAATAGAAATAAACCAAAAAGAGCCGAAGAATTTAACTGAGCATATAATAAAACAATTCTCTATGCCAAAAAAAGTGATAGCCAATAATTATTTTTCTTATCTATTCTGTAAAGTGTCACACTTCAGCTCGACTACAGCTTAATCATTTTGCAAAATGGAGAACAGTTCTGATACTGACCTGTAATTTCAAATCTAGTTAAGTCTCAAAACTCATCCATCTTGCTAAATAGTCCACTAACTTTATCAGCAAAAGTTAATCACTACCATCATAACTCATTTATTGATTAGAAATTAACTAACTTATCTAGTATCAACTGACTTTTGAAAAATATTCACAGGATCAATTATCACGAGTAAAAAGCATATTTGCTAAGGCAGAAGTAAGAACACTTCGAAAAATTATTTATGAAGTTCCATCTAAATAAAACAAGGTTATGAATCAACAGAAATCTATTCATCAAAACACTAACCATGAATGGAAATCCCGACGGTGTAGCTGGGAACTGAGGCATATTGAAACTTGCAGTAGAGGATGGCATCTGAGGTACAGCGTTGCCACTATCATTTCGTTGACCAGCTGAGCTAGTTCCAGCTTGCGGTTGTTGCTGTTGTTGTTGCGGAAAAGCGAATTGAGCCATGAACGGAAACATATTTGGAATTTCACCTCCATTATTTGCAGGCTGGACTCCCCCAATATTTTGTCGTCCTTGAGCAGGTCCAGCCATAGGTGCAGCTGCTCCTCCAGCAACCGGTGATGTTGGTGTTGTCCTTCGTTGTGCTGTAATTTATTAGTTATAAAAATATGATTTGTCCGAGCAAGGAAAGGAAGAAACTGCTTAGACTCCAAAGACTACAAAAGTCTAAATTTGGTTTTCGAAGAACGATACATGGAAAACTACCACAAATTTGATACGAAACGAGTTACACAACAAATCCAAACCTAAAATATCAGTACGACAAGTGGGGCAGCTCTGTTGTCGTTGGAACCATGAACGGAGACAGTTTGCATGGAAAATATGATTGCATGGTAGTTTTTTTGCTCCACTAACTGGTGTCATCTCTTCACGGCAGATTATACATGTATTGTCACCTGAATGAAAACATTAAGAGGAAAAACAATCTACTGTTACAATTCAAAAAAATAAATGAATAAAGGACCAAAACTCTACGCACCAGTCGAAGTTTCTAATAAGTTATAACTTTATCTGAATAGACCTCTAAGTTTCTTGAACTTAAATTGAAAGTTGAAATTACTTTTAGCAGCATTTAGTGAGCACCTTAAAAATCATCATTTCAATTAATAAATAATTTACAAATAAAACGAAAGTGACAATTATAACATGGATACCCTGCAATAGATCCCGTTCAGTAGCTAGTGGAAACAGATTATTCATAGCATGTATCGCACGTCTTGAGAGTATAACATCATTGATTGCCTTATGGAATGCTCGAATAGTAAGATAAAGTGGACGGATTGAAAATAATGGGAAAGTATGCAAACGTATCATTACGGCCACAAAAATAATATATAAAATGCAACGGAGGCAATCTAAAAAATATTATTCATTCATTTCCCGAAAGTTTCCAATACAATGATAAGGAGGAATTGGTACGAGAATAATAGAGTATATTAATTTTTTGTAACGCTCTACGAAATAAATTATGATTTTTTAATATTTATCCCTCTGGTTATCCTTTAAAGTCAATTTTTCATCGAAATAGAACATTCTATAAGAAATACGAAGTGAAAATGAATATAACTTTAAAAATTAAGTGTTTTCATTTATCCTACGGTAAATCATCCAGAAAATTAAATGATTTTCATAAAGCCATTCAGCAATTTTGAAAAAAAACGAGAAAACAAACACACTGATAAGGAGTTCCGAATAGAGTAAATAAACAGCTTTATTCTCCCATGGATGCACATTCCGTAAGTCATGCATGTGCAAAATATATTTAATTGTTACATGCAACACAACTGTCATTAAGACTGCATACTGCAAAAAAAGATAATAATATTTGAAATTTTGAGTAGGTGTCTCATTAGAGGGCAAGGATGACAATAGGTGGGCAATGTATGTTATAGACAGAAGGCGTTATGACAGGGAAATGGCAAGTCATAAAAATACTTGAAAACTTGAAAGATACATGTAGTTTTGCTTATACTATAACTTGGCAATACTGTTCAAAATAACCAACCTCGAACCCAAATACAATTTGCACGGACGCGCCGCGAACGAGTGTTGTGAAATATGCATGTGATATAAAATAACTGTCCAGAGCACTCAAAAAGGCAAGCAATGCTGAAATTTGTGACAAATCATTTACTAATTGCAAAATCATTTATTATTTCACTGCAAAATTCAATCTTATGTTGTCTTCGAGCAATAAAAAAAAAAAACCGTATAAAGACAATTAAACCTAAATTTGAATGGCTTGTTTTTAAAAAAACCCGAATTACTGATTCAACAATTACGAAAATCTCAAGTATTAGATCGGATCTGAAAAGCCTGAAATATCAGAATTACACATTCAAGGAAAAAGATTTGAATTAAGAACGAAAGTTAAGAAAACGTTAAGAGCATACACATCATCCTGCAATGGAACAATACAGTTATAATTGGACTTCGCTCCATAAAATCCACCCGATCTTCGCTAAGCCAATGAAATAATTTGATAAACAGCAGAAAAACAAATTGCATTACAAAACGGGGAGAGAAATCATCGCGAAACACAGTAAATGCCAAACATGTCTCCATGATCGCATGCCATGTTCTCTCCGATAGATGCTGCAAATTTAGCCTCGTATTAAAATTGTAAGGTTAGAGCACATATTCAGATTAACATAGCATTTATTAGATACTTTCAGCTAGAGATTTCGAAATCAACAAAGTTAATACAGAATCTTAAGTATCCAACTTATTTATATGCATATAAACATCGAATAGTTTCTTCGAGGAATGTAATTCACCGGAAAATATTTTCCTTCGGTTTGAAAAATCATATATAAGCTAGATAAAGCAACAGAGCACACACCGCACCGAATGTTCGGCGAATTTTAAAATTCATTCTTTCTTTACTTACTTTTTTTTTCTGAAAGCTTTTTCCCTGCAGACTTTAACAGCCTACTCTATTATCTGGAAACGGTTCCTCACTTTAACATATTCTAATCCAAGCTTAAATTAAATAAAATTAAATTGCAAAAATGCAATGCTTACCTCATATTCAGCAGCACGTAATTCACCGAAAAATATTTTCCTAATGATTTGAAAAATCATATATGCGACCACTAATCCTTGTACATACATCACCTGCATATATACCAGCTATATCCCAATAATATAATAAAAACCTTAATAACATCATTAATCAAAATTTTTTTCAACTTTTGGAAAACTAGGAAATCAAAGAATTGAAAGTTTTCTTCTAAAAGGAACTTACTGCCATGGAAGGACTACTTTTTGTAATGTAGACAACAGATGGATAAAATTGCTTTTTCTGGAAAAAAGCGTTTCCAACGGTAAGCGAAGTCAAAATAACACTTGCTATTGTTAAAAGAAAGGTCGACGCACGTGCCATTTAGTGAATATTCTAGAACAACAATAATAAACATTAAACTATGGTGCAAAATTTGTCGTAAAGCCAAGAAATTCATTCCCACTACTCTCTCGATAATTCATCATTTTTAAAAACAAAAATAATAATGGTAAAAAGCGGAACTCATGCTACGAATCACTTGGATGAAATGATTTAATGCTACTCAAAAAAAAATAATGTCTTGAGCTTAATAGTACTATAGAAAAGACTCTACACTACCGAAAAAAGTTTCCAATGATACGCGAAATTTGTACAACATGTAAGATTTATTAAATCGAACTAAAAATGTGTAAATCAATAGGGACAGCGTGTTTTTTTTATCATTACTATCAACTATTTACTGATTAGGAATATGGAATGGATGATGTTTGGCATGAGATTAGATGTTACATGAAATTTGATCATATACTGAATAAACCTTAGGATATACCAATCTTTTTAATGAAAGTTGTAGTAGCAATTTCCAAATTATTATTACACAAAAGTCTACATAAACACTAAATAATTGAATCTATCGTATATAGTGCTTTCAGTACAATCCCAAAGTCCCTTATTTATTTTTTCTATGAAAAACCAAAAAATGATATTTGTAATAGATTTTGCGACTCTTTTCTTTTCTAAATACTCGTAGTTAATTCAATTTAGATCATTGAGGAGTTTTTGAATGTCGCTAACCTATTGCAAATAGTTCAATTCCCAAATATTTTATCCTTAAGTTAAGACAAAAACGACTACTAAACAAGCATCATCGATCATACTACTAAACTCTAAGCGCAAATTTTAAGGATTATATTTCGATCAAATTTAAAAAAGACTGAACCTTACAAAGCATTTTAATGATTCTTCTTAAGCTCTATCCTTTTATCAAGTTTCAGACACACTTAGCTCATAAATTCTTCATACCCACATACCTATCTACTTACTACGTATTAAATTTAATTTTTTGGATTAGATGCTAAAATGTTCCTTTTTAATAACACCTCTATTACCGCTTAGCGATTTACAATGTTTAATCAAACCTTATCAAAAAAGTCACAAATAATTCCGTTATATAAAATAACAGTAGACCAAGAATATACTTCACTAATCACGAGCTGTTCAAGCGAAAAAAGGTAAAAAAAGCTCCGCAGAAAAATCTACTTCTTGACCTTTTTTAAATTCATATAACAGAAAGATGTTTCTTCACATATCCAACAGATTTCATGAAAAATACAAATAAAAGCAGCAATCATTCAAGCTTATTGAATCAATTATACTTTGAAACCTTGAAAATTCTTCATTAACATCTGAATGATACCGAATAACAACAACAATAAAGGAATAAAAAATTATAAAAATAAGATATATAATATAATATACACATGTTTATGTCCATGTAAACATAAATACTCCCGTAAAGTACCATCACCAAACACCACGTGCACATAGGTGCACAGCATATATAAATGGTTAAAACTGATATAAACAGAGCAATCAAATACTGCAGGATGGATAAATACTAATCAATAAATCATTTTCCCAAATCTGTACTTTTACTGTTTTACTTTTTTTCCAAAGTAAAGTAATTCTTATTTTTATTTCCGATGAAATTAAGAGATAGTTGCATGAGAAATAAATAATAAAGCGAAGCAAAGCAATCTGATGCACTGCAAGCGTCACTTGTCACTTATTTTTTCTGTATTAAATTCACCTCAAAGAATTTTAGGATCATTCAAGTGAATAGTTTTAAATCTACAAGTAAAATCTGTTTCCCATGAAATTTTCAGCCAATAAACAATTGGAAAATTGAAACATAATTTTGCCAATGATCAATATCACTTCTAAAAAAATTCATTAGAAAACTAGGTTAGAAGAGAAGAGGAAGAGCAATATATGGATACCATTCTAGGCTAAAAAAAGAAAAGACAATGAATTTATGAATGGAATTTCATTGTTAATCAAATTAAAATCTCATTTTCTCTAGATTCCAGAATGGCCTAAACAAGTTATGCAAAAAGAAATTTTGAAGAATTTTTCTGATAAAATTCATCTTAATTCTTCACAAATTTCGCTTTCCTACAAATGCTTCAATATTAAAAAGAATATACAATATGAGAATCTGTGAAACTAAAATAAAAGATAAACCGAAATCTGTTAAGTAAATTATGGGATTTCTTACACTAATTAGAACTAAAGTCATAAAATTTTTTTGGTTCGTAAAACAAAAATTTGGCCAAAAAAATCAAAATTGTTGCTAAAATGCGCATTTCCACACATCAAGCATGCCATTGAGTAAAATTTATAAGTGAACATAAAAATTTGTGAAATGCATGGCGTTTATGTCGGAATGCATAGAATGTTATG